AATTGGTAACCATGATTGGTGAACCAAATCATCAGCTTTCATATTTTATTAACTTTTTTATAAATATAGAGTAATACATTTTCAATGCACAAAACTTAAAGATCCTAGACAATTAAATAGAAAAATCAATAGTAGTGTCTCCTTCAGAAATAATGACTGCTAAAATTTTGAGTCATCCAATGCTAGATAAATCTATATCCTTATAAAAATGGGATCACATCGATTTGTTTACTTAGCAAAATATTTTAAATGTTTTACAATTATGCAATATTATTTTAATGAATATATTATATTCCATAACATAACTTGCCATCATTTGGGGAACAGTTTTGATTGTTGAAATTTCAAATTATTCCCAATTTTTAATAATTCTAAAATGGATATACTTAAACATTCCCTTTTGCCCAAGTCTCTGATTATTTTATTTAAGTGGAATTGTTGGGTTAAAATGTAATATTTTATAACTTTTAAAAAATTGTAATTGATACTTTCTCCCTAGTAATAAGAGTTCCTGTAGTGTAATATCTGCTGTATGAACCTACTCAAAAGGAGCATTAGAAAAGTACAACAGTAATTAAAAAGCAATATGGCCCTTTTGAAAGAAACCAGATTGTGAAGCATACAAGAAAACCAGAGAGTATTTGAAGAGTTTATGTACAAACCACAAATAAATAGTATTGGGAAGCTATCAGAATGGCAGAAAAAAAAATTTTTTTTCTTAAGAAATAATCATGGAGGAAGACAAAATGAAATCAAGTAGAAAACTAAAAATACTCATACCTGAGTAGAATACATAAATAATGGGGATGTAAATGGTTTATATATAACCTAAGATTGTAATACCTCTCTGCTTTTCACAGAAGAAAAAGTATGAAAACAATTAAAGCCAAAAAGTTAGAATGAAGGTCAATGCCATCATTTTACATAAACCTCATGAGGTTTCCTGGATAGTGAGTAAAACAAGTCAACAGACAGACATGTGCAATGTGATAAGTGCTCTATAAGATAAAAGCAGGGGCTCTACGAAAAGGCCCACTAATTCAAACGTGAAGTCAAGAGAGGCTTCCTGGAAGAGTGACATTTAAGCTAACCATAGCAGGAGAAAAAAACATAAAAAGCACTTGGATAAGAATAGGGAGTAAAAACAAGAAGAGAGAGAGGGAGAGAGAGAGAGAGAGAGAGAGAGAGAGAGAGAGAGAGAGAGAGAGAGAGAAGAGCAATGGAGATTGCTACAGTGGAAACAGGGAAGGTATGACTGAAACATCAAAGGCAAAGGGTGGGGAAGAAGGACATTTAATGGGTGTGTTAGAGATGAACACAGACAGATTAACATAATTCAGATCTTTAAGGGGTTCTCAGCCATGCAAAAGAGTTTGGACTTTTTCCTGGGTCTAATGGGGGCCATTGGGAATGAGAAGGTTCAATTTCAATTGTAGATGGGTCATTCCAGCGCTGTGGGGGGCAGACAGCGGTGGGTAAGAGAGAAGTAGGGGTCAATTAGGAGGCAGTTTCTTCCACTTGCCCACTTCCCAAACCCATGTTTCCATTCTCTGCCCTTGAGGACATGCTCTTGAAGAGCCTGGGTTTATAAAGTAAATGAATGCTTGGATGGAATTTAGCAATCCCTTCCTTTGGAACCTATAAGCAGAGTTGCAGAGACTCAAGATAACACCAAGTCTTGGATAGGAAACCAAACCGAGGGAAGGTCCACTAAAACCAGTAGATCAAAAAACACAAATTAATGTTGTAAATTATCAACACAACCTAAATGTCTTAATGTGAACTTAAATGCTTGTGTCTCCCAAAATTCACATGGTGACGTTTAATCTTAATATGATGGTAGTTGGAGGTGGGGCTTTAGGGAGTTGATTAGGTCATTGGGGGTGGCAGCCCCATGAATGGGATTAGTGCCCTTATAAAATGGGCCAGAGAATTAGCTCCCTCTCTTTCTGGCATGTGATGATAAAAAAAGAGGTTGGCAGTCTGCAGTCCAGAAGACAGCCCCTACCAGAACCCTACCATGCTAGCATCCTGATCTCCTACTTTTGGCCTCCAGAACTATGAGATATACTAGTAAATGTTTGCTGTGTAAGCCACCAAGACTATGTCACTTTGTTATAGCAGCTTAAGCTGAGTAAGATGTCCCCTAATTGGAGAATGTAGCTTTTTACTGACTTCCAAGAAAGAAGCTGCTCATTTGGTATCTCTTTGTTCTTCTCCCTGAGCTTAAGTAAGCTCTAACGTCCCAGAGTATGTGTGGAAAGACTTGTGAATGATTCTGTCCTATTTGCTGTGAACTGATGGTCGAGTACTGAGCCAGACATTTCTCCTTTCAGGGTAATTTCTATCCCTTCTTAGTGTACTTTCCCAAAAGGCTAAGTCACACTCTTCTACAACTTTTATTTTGAGCTACTTTTTACCCTGTGGCCTGGAAAAAAGTGATACATATTATCTTTATTGTTTCTCCCAGGAGACATACAGAGTCCTCATATATATAGTCTCAAGTGGCCTGGCCCAATTTCCTAGACTTTCTAAGATTGACATGAGATTAGTATCCCAGCATGAAACTAATTATAGCCCTTGCCATATTTTATTTTCTGTGTCATTTCTTTCTCTCTCCAAACCAAATTACTTCACAGGGGTATTTTCTTATTCATAGGACCTATGACCCTATAAGTTCTAAGTAAATGTTTGCTACTTGATATTCAAGAGGCAGAGAAAAAGATAAAATATATCTGTTTTTCACTATGATGAATATATATATATATATATATATATATATATATATAGGATATATGATATATAGGATATCTATATCTATATCTATATCTATATCTATATCTATATCTATATCTATATCTATATCTATATCTAATCTCTCTCTCTCTCTCTCTCTCTATATATATATATATATATATATCTCCTATATAATAAAAGGGTAAGATGCAAATTGACCCTAACAGCAGAATGTCTGGGAATGACTGGTCACTATGACACACACTGACCACTAGGGGGCAGATGCTCAATGCAGGAACTGCCCCCTGGTGGTTAGTGCACTCCCACATGGGGGAGCTCTGCTCAGCCACAAGCCAGGCTGATGGCTGCCAGTACAGCGGTGGTGGTGGGAGCCTCTCCCACCTCCTCAGCAGTGCTAAGGATGCCCAACTGCAGCTTAGGCCTGCTCCCCGCTGGCAAGTGGACATCTCCCGAGGGTCCTGGGCTGCCAGAGGGATATCTGACTGCCAGCTTAGGCCCAATCCCCTGGGGAGTGGGCCTAAGCCAGCAGGTAAACATCCCCTGAGGGGTCCCAGACTGCAAGAGGGCACAGGTTGGGCTGAGGGACCCCCCCATGTGCCCAAATTTTTGTGCACTGGGCCTCTAGTGTATATGTATATATATATTCTTATTTATCTGTTTCTCTTAAAAAATATAATTTTTGACTGAACTCACACTTAGAGGTAGAAACTCTTTGAGAGGATAACCTACATCTCTTATCTCTTGGCGATCTGTTCCTGGCATTTTTCTTTGTCCTCCTTCATTCTCTTAGCCAAAAGTTTACCATATTCTATGGTCTCTTCATTGCAGAAAAAGAGGAGAGAAAGATATTTCTGGTCTCACTGATACTACTGTGCCTTACTACCTGGTGTCCAAAAGAGTTAGCAGAACTGGAAAACTTTTCAGTCTCTCTAAAGAAGATGATGTCCACCAATATATTGTGAGAAAGCCCCTAAACAAAGAAGGTAAGAGACCTAGGACCAAATTACCCAAGATTCAGTGTCTTGTTCCTCCTCATGTCCTGCAACGCGAATGCTGGCATATTGCTCCGAAGAAACCATGTATCAAGAATGTATATATTTTGTTTTATAGTTGCAGGTACTAATCTTATTTATTTCAACTCTGTTTATTCCAAACATAAATAATATTTTTATGGTAAATGTCCTTAAATATTAATTAAAGCATGAGCTGTATAACAGAAGTAGGCCTTCCATCATATAAATTTTTCTCTTGAATAATACATATTTTGCTGACCTTCTTTCCAAAGCCATGGAAACAGAGCTGAATGGATACCTGTGAGGCAAAGCTGAGCTTCTTGGTTTTACTGTGTCATCTGGTATCACACCTTGCTATATTTGGAGAAAGTGTTATTTGATTGTCAGAGACAGGTCTAACCTAAGGCATTTCTCATTCATAAGTGCAAGGCAAGTGAATTCTCTTAAAATTATACCATCTAAAATGGAATGGCTTATTTCAATATTAATTTAATAACAAGCTATGCACAGTAATTACCTCTTTAGTTCTGCTAAAGTACCTTTCCTTGTCTAGACTTGGGCCAATGATTACATTAAATTTGCTACAAAAACAATCTACTCAATGCATGACTAAAGACCAAAGAAAGGGAGGAGCCAATGCTTTTCTAGATATATTTGTCATGAAAAAGATCAGCTCAGGGGGTTGATGTTGGCAACATGCTGTATTCTCCACTAGAAAGGTTGCAATAATAATTAATGCCACACATTTATTTAGAACTTCACATTTATAAAAGGGTTTTCACATATACTATTTTATTCTATTAATCCATGAAAAGACCAGATGGAATCCAAATAACCTTCTGGCTATGTCCATCTCACATCCTTTTCATGATGCATATGAACAAAAGTTTTCATGAGCCTTGTCTGCTAAAGAGGAAAGTGAACTGACAAGGGAAGCACACAAGATCAACTTCATGCCAGTTTCTCCATGAAGACACCATTTCCCTCAGTTATCACACAAAGTATCACAAATTGCCCATTGAATCCAACTATTCCTTTGGGCCAATAAATAAATAAATTATTGGTAAATAAATGTATCATATATATTGACTACAAGGAGTTTGAATTGGAGAACTATGAAACTGTTTCTCTTGGACTCCCAACTCCACCAATGGGTTCAACATCTATTTTTTAAAACATCTTTATTAGGTCATGTTAATGTAGTAAACATAGCACATCAGAAACCCTGTTTCTACCCTCTAGAATCTAAGCTGCCTCGGTTCTCTGAATAAATCTCTTTATCTCTTACCAAAGACATTTAGCCATATATATATATTTAAAGATATGAAACCATTTATATATTTTTTAACCTGCTAAATTCTAGAACTTTGAGAGAAATGTCTTGATGACAATATCTTTTCCAGAAAGTACTATTTGCATTCCATCTGTAATGGAAAGTACCATAGAAAGAGATGCCATAAAGAATGTTCAGGCCAACTATTTATGCTGTGAAAGAACACTACTTGACTCACTGCATGTTTGCAGAAAACAGCTCTTCACTGGTGATGTAAAGGCGGGATTGCAAAATTGGCTGTGAGATGTTGGTCCCAGGCTTAAGGTCTCTTTTAGTGAAGTCAAATGCCTGCAGTGAGCACAGTCATGAAGCCACAGATATGCCTTATAGTTGAGGTATTCTTTAAAAACAAAACAAAAGCACTCTGATCACCAAGCCCTGTGGCACCTGGACAGTCTTCAGGTGCACCGCGCCCCTCCCCTGGGTGTGAACTTCTGGCTTCATTCCTTCCTGAGGCATCTCTTTATCTCCAGCTCATCTTTCATCAGTGCCTGTCAGTAGAATATCACAATTCCAGATTGGAAAAAAACAGTTCTTACAGAGTTAGGGAAATGAAAAAAGTTTCTGGTAATGGAAATCCCCTCCACTTTAAACCAACATTTTATTCATGTTTGGAAAATACCACTTTGTTGCTGTTTCCATTTTAATCTGCTTCAGTATTTCCTGTTTTAATTTAGAAACCAAATGTGTGACAAATCAGGAGGATCTTGGGCCAATTCCAAATCAATAAGACCAGAAAGTAACAGCCAACTAACCAAAGTTGCTGTCTTTGCTAAATTTTATGCAAAATTTTAAAATGTGGATATAAATTGGTTAAGGTAATTGAACTCAAGCGTTTCAGATGTGACTGCTATAAAAGTTCAGCAGGGAGAGTCCAGCCACATTTATATGTAATCGGAAGGAGATACACGAGTTCAGCATAGGAAAATATTTTCTAGGTTATTTCATGAAAGAAAGAGAATGAGTTGCCTTTTTGACTTCACACCTGATTTTTTTCTTTGTTTCTTTCTTCAAAATTCATTTAATCCCTGAGATTCTGTATCTCTGTAATAATAATAAACACCAAATTAGGGAATTTTAGAGATAGAATAAAACCTCATTTGACATTTATTTATCCAGTACCTGCTCTGGGCAAGGCACTAGTGCAGCCCCATTTACAAACATGTGAAGCCAACAGTAGATTTATGGCTGTTGTGAAGGCACTCTGTCAATCAGTATCAGAGCCAGGCCTGCAGGCATTCAGGACATTTGAATCCAATGCAGTCTCTTTTCCTTGGAGCCATGCTGATTTCTCTCCCACAGTCACTTAACCACATTACACCCAGAGTCAATGTGCCAACAAGACCCAATCTGTCTTCACTCATTATACCATTTGAGCTGGATGGGCATGACTTAGTGGTTGTGTTGTGCCCAGATTTCATGATTCCCAAGAACCCACAGGGAGCCAGCGAGTCCGATGCAAAAGCAAAGAGTCATTCATTTCAAACCTAGGTTTGGCTCCCCTGCCACACTCACCGATGCAATGGTAAGCTCCAGTGGCTGAGAGAGAGAAAACTCTGTGTGGAGAGAGCTTTTATAGGGGGTTGGGGTAAGGAGAGGAGAAAAGACTGTGGGCCCTGCCGATTGGCCAGGCGCGAGTCGGTGTCTCATTACACAGGATGGGGTCATAGTGATGGCGTGCACTTCCCTTGACTATCTTCCGGGAAGAAGCTTGCTGAGCACATGGCCAAGTTAAGATGGAGGGCATAGCCCTTACCCTGGGGCAAGGTGGAGGGCGTAGTCCTAGCCCTTTCAGTTGAGCATTGACCTATGAACCAGGAGGTCGTGGTTTGATTCCCAGTTGATGATTCTCTCTTATCATTGATGTTTCTCTCTCTCTCTCTCTCTCTCTCTCTTTCTCTCTCTCTCTCTCTCTCTCTCCCTCCCTGTCCCTTCCTCTCTGAAATCAATAAAAAATCTACTTTTATTTTTTTTAAATATACCATTTGATATTTATTTGGGGGACATTTGTAAATAAATGAAAAAATTGCCTAATTGCCAGCCTGGATGAGGGACTGAACTTAGGTGTGTGTGTGTGTGTGTGTGTGTGTGTGTGTGTGTGTGTGTGTGTTTTAAGTTATGAACCACAAATAAAAAATGTTATTAAAATTTAAGCCAGGAAACATGACCCATTGAACTGTTAATCAAAACTAAATATCAAATCAAGTGACAAGATCTTTGCCTGCAGGTCATGATGGGGAGAAAAACTCTGATAAGTGTGTGGTCTTCATAAAGCAACTGATAACTATGCCCTTGAGTGAAGAGAATTTTCAAAGGCTCTTGAAAGGAAATAGATGGCCCTTACACAGACTCTCCTTGAGAGTCACAGTGAGCACTGCCTTCTGATGAAGAATCACTATTATCACCAGTAACACACCAAATGTATTTTCTCAAAATGAATGTGTTAGTAATTGTGTTTTAACTTTCCAGGAGGCATACTGAATTTTGTTATTAAACATCTTAAGCATTTTACATATTTCCTATTTATAAATTACATTCCCAAATAATATAACCTCTTTCCCATATTATCTTTTTCAAAATTCAGCATTATTACCTTGTGTTTATTATTTCAGATACTAAAATTAAAAAAAATTAAGCAGCAGCAGAGTTTCTGCAATTTCTTAAAGGGAGGCTGAAATGAACTGCCTCCCTTTAACATCCTGGTGAGCCAGGCAAGGAAAATAGTCAACACTCACTTCCCTGCTTAAATAATTTACAATCACCTAAAACTGATTTTCAACCCTAACCTTATTTCCAAACATGCCAATATTTCTTCCTTCAGTTATATCTATTCAGCAATGCAAGACCTTGTTGTTATGTTCCTAATTATGAAAGGTAAATAAGTTACTAACATTGTCATAATATGTAAAAACTAAGTAGAAAGTCTTCCTTTTAAATTATCCACATATTTCATCAATAGGCATGGCATTGAAGAATTTATTGAAACATCAGACTATTTAGAACAAACTCATTTCACATATCACAATTTATAGCAGTTTGGGAGAACATACAGGGTCATGGCCAGATTTAGCCACTATAGACTTATCATGGGTTCAACAATTACATTTAAAGAGGGGGCAGAGAAGGAAGATGGCAGCTGGCACGACAGAGGTGAGGGATAGGAAGTGTAAGTGAGGGGGTAAAAGGAAAGTGTGTGGATGTGTGTGGTGTGTGTGTGAGTGAGTGAGTGAGTGAGTGAGTGAGTGAGTGACAGTTAATCTGGCAGGAGTAGCAGGGGCTGGCAGACCAGACTCTCCTGGACAGGGAGCACCTACCACTGCTGTGGCACTCCCCTGGTTGCGGGGCTTGGGCATGGAGCCCATGCCATCTTGAAGAGAAGAGTGGCCTCTTCTAGGAACTCATCACCACCACCACCACCACCCAGACAGGCCTTGGACACTGCCCGCGACCTTGCAGCCACTCCAGCCAAAATCCTGCTGCCCCACCTGCAGACCTGCAGACCCTAGGACCTCCACCTCCAAGGGTGCAAGGCTCCCGCAGAAGTAAGTGCAACTTCCCCCATCCCTAACTGCCAACCTCTGGACACCACATGCTTTCCAGCATGTAGGCCTCCTGAGCTCACAGCCGCAAAGGCAGCTCTTGGGTGCCTCATGAGCCCCCGCTGGGCATGCTCATAGCCAAATAAGGACACACAGCCCTGGCAGTAGAAATTTGGACTTCCCCCACTCCCGGCTACCTGCCCACAGACAGCTCAGGTGTGTAGCTTTAATGCCAGAGCCCCCCTGAGTGTGTGAGTGTGCCGCCCTGGCAAATGAACCCTGGGTGTCTCTGTGAACCACCACTGGGTATGCATGTATCCAACCAAGTATGCAAGACCCAGGCAGTAAAAAATGAGTCTTCCCACTCCACAGCTGCCAACCTCCAGACACCACAGTCTCTCCTTTCTGGTGTGGAGGCCTCCTGAGACCCACAACCCTGACAGACGGCTCCTGGGTGCATCTGTGAGCCCCTGCTGGGCAAGCAGTTTCAACCAAGGGTGCAAGGCAGAAAAAAATTGGGACATCCCCCTCCCTGGCTACTGACCTCTAGACACTTCAGTTCTGCCTTTCCAGCAAACAGGCCTACTGAGCCTGCTACCCCTCTAAGTGGCTTCTGGATGCCTCCTTGAACCCTGGCTGGGTGAGCTCATATCCAAACAAGGGCACATGGCCCCAGCAGTAGAAATTTGAACTTCCCCCGACCTGGATGCCTACCCACAGACACTGCAGTCACGTGGTTTCAGCATGCAGGCCCCCTGAGGCCACCACCCCAGCAGGTAACTCCCGAGCACCTTTGTGAGCTGCCACTAGGTGCACTCATATCCAACCAAAAGCTCAAGGCCACAGCGGTAGAAACTCAGACTTCCCCCTCCTCAGCTGCCGACCTCTGGTCTCTGCAGTCACACCAATCCAGCAAGCAAGCTACCTGAGCCCACTGTCCTGGCAGGCGGCCCCTGAGTGCACCACAAGGCACAACTCTGGCTGTTAGCATCCAGTCCACATGATAGCATCAGCACAAGGGCCCCCTGAGCCCACTGCCCCAGCATACAGCTCCTGTGCACCTCTGTAAGCAGCCATTGAGCATGCATATCAAACCAAGGGTATACATCCCCTGAGCAAAAACTGGGACTTCTCCCTCCATGGGGCCAGTGGCACACCACAATTGCTTTGATCCAGTATGTGGGCCCCACAAACACACACCCCTTGCAGACGACTCCTGGGTCCCCTGTGTGCTGCCACTGGACATGTGCCTCTCTAACCAAGGGCACATGGCTCCCTCAGTAGGATCCACAACATCCCCCTCCTGGGTACCTATCTCTGGACAGCTTGGTGAGTTACTGAAAACGTGCCTCCCTAGACAATGCCACATTGTTCCAGCTACAGACCCTGAGATTTCCACATCTCCAGCTGCTGGATCCTGAACCCTCTCATGATTCAGAGAGAGAAATCACTTTCACCGGAGTTCCACTGCCTCAACCACAGACTACAAGACACCTGCCCCACACTGTCACAGGCTCTGGGCCCCTCATAGTGAGATACAGAGTGATGCTAATTCAGCAAGAGTCACACCACACCAGCCAAAGTCACAGTACATGAGCCTCAGGCCCTGAGACTCCTTCTTCCCAGGCCATGGACTCTGGGGACCCACAGTGAGCACATACCAGTGAGACCTCAGACAACCTTTTCCACAAGAGCTGGAACCATGATCACATCCAAAACAGCTTACAACAAAGCCAGGGGAGAGACACATTGCCAACCCATGATGAAACTTCATCCATGAATAAGAAATTAACATTCAAGATACAACTACATTAAGAGAACCCAAATAGCTCAAGTATGGAACTCAGCTAAACTACCAAGCCCAGGAGATCTGAGAGTCTGAACCTCTAACACCACCCAAAAGGAACCTGGGTAGCAAAGCAGTTGGATATAAGACACAGAAACAATTAAAATAATTAAAACAATTAAGCAGCAAAAAATGGGGAGACAAAAAAACAATCCCCAAAGGAAAGAAAAAGAAGTATCACCAGAAAGGGAATTAAATGAAATGAGTCAAGTAACATGTCAGAAAGAATTCAGAGTAATGTTTATAAAGATGCTCAAATGGCTGGATTACAAATACACACAACTCAATGAGAAGTATAAGGAGCTGAATGAGAATGTCACCAACATGAAAAGGAACCAAGAGGAAGTGAAGAATGACATAGGTGCAATAAACAACACAATAGACAGCTTAAACAGTAGACTAGAAGAGGCTGAGGACCACATCAGCAAATTAGAAGACAAGGTAGGAAAAAAACACACAAACACAGCAGCAACTGGAAAGAAAACTTAAGAAGCAAGAGGAGAGCCTAAGGGAGTTTTGTGAGTACACAAAATGAAACAACATCCACATAATAGGGTTACCAGAAGGAGAGGAAGCAGAGCAAGTAATAGAAAAGCTGTTTGAAGAAAGGACAGAAAACTTCCCTGATATTGGCAAGAAAAAAACATGCAAGTCCAAGA